CATTAATGTTTAATGAGGATGAGGAGGAAGATGATTTGGTTTTTGAAAAAAATATTCACTATGTTTAGGGAAAAGCCATTTACAATGAAAGCAAGATGGTTAAACTATCAAATTACTATGATTTTTTTCTCGATTTTTTTAGTCTTTTAGAAATTACATTTTTTGTGAGTTGGAAATTCTCTCAGCTCTAACAATACTTCGGGATTAAAGGACATTTTTATTTCAGCGACTTAGGTCTAAGTAGGTTGAAAATAATAAAGACTGAAACCAAAGTTTGGACCCCCCGTTAGTGCTCCATAACACTTTCTATGGCAAGTACCACACTTTTTGATGCAGTTAGAAGCACTTCAGTTCTTGTTAAGGGGATTTTCACCTTTATAAAAAGCTCTGAGTTTGGTGAGATTCTTTGGCCATCTTGCATGACCTGCTCTTTTGAAGTCTGTCCACAGATTTGTAATGATGTTTAGGATGGGAAACTGAGAGCCATTGCAGAGCTTCAGCTTGCATCTCTCAAGGTCGTCCACTCGGATTTTGTGTTCACAATCATTATCCTTTTGTGGAAGCCATCCTCTTTATTCTGTCTTACAGATGGTGTGATGCTTGCTCCCAGTTATTCAAAATTGCTGGTATTTAATTGAATCAATTCTCCCCTCTCCTCCTGAATGCAACACAAGCCCAAAAGCCCACAATCAATCCACCTTTTGTTCATGAATTCTGCACCCTTTGCTTATTACTGACAAAAAAGTTAAAATTTTATTTAACCAGTCAACAGGATCTTATTGCTTTATGCATCCAGGTTCTTTTCATATTTCTTTGCAAACTTTACAATGCTGAATTTCTGGTCAGGACACTGCTCCCTTCCCACAAAGCTCATATCTGTGCAGGTGTGGCTGCAAAGTAGAACCGTGCACCAACTCTCCAATCTGCTAAATCTTCCTGAAAGTCCTTTACACTCAATGGGATTTTGATTTGTCTTTCAAACAGTCCTACAAGCTGTTCTCTCTGAACATTTTCTTGGTCTTCCAGACCTTAAATTGACCTCCCCTGTTCCTGTTAACTGCCATTTTCTAATTACATTACGAACAGAGGAAACAGCCTGAAAACACTTTGCTGTCTTATAATAGCTTTTTCCTGCTTTGTGGGCATCAGTTATTTTAATGTTCACATTGCAAGGCAGCTGCTGCTTAGAGGAGCCTCTGGCTGTGGCTAAACATTTTTTTAACCTTACTTGTTACTGCAGATATTCACAACTTCGGTAAATATAGCACTGTCTGACATCCCCATGTAGGAAACAACACATTCCAAACAGTTTAATAGGAGCAGTGAATAATAAGTAATATGAAGGTTTATCCCCTTAAACTGACGACCAAGTGTGAGCAGGACCTAACATGGAAAACTATAACAGCAAGTTACCATTTTCAATGCAGATATTTGCATTTAGCTTAAAGCGGTGCAGTATCTAAGTGCAGCCTCACAGAGTAGTTTGCTTTTTGGGGATCTTTAAATAAAAGTCTCATAATTTAAAGACAATTATGAAGACTCTTTGTCTGTTTCTTCTTGAATGTGCGCGGGTGTTTTAAAACATAGTTTTGACCTGAGCATCAACAGTGAACCGCTGGGATCTCTGGGTGCTACATGGGATACTGCACTAATTAACAAGACATATAACAAAAGCAGAGTTGCTAACCCTTGTATTAACTCTGTAGATATGAAGGCTGTGATTTTTCCATTAGCTTTCTGATGAATTCAATATTATAAGAAACATGACAGTGAGCATTGCAAATTAGGAAGATCTGTTCTTCATCAACAGACTCAAAGAAGCACACTCTCTGCTTTTATGTACAGTATTGTGTCAAAGAGAAACAGCTTCAAAGCTACATCTCATCCAATGAGTGCTGTCTCTCTGTGAGTACAGCTGTGACCCTGGTCAGTATCAAATTATTATCTTTCAAGATGCCTCTGATGAGCTTGATCCTAATCTAAAATAACACAGAAAACAAACATGAATCCATGGCTTCTTTCAGGGGCATTGCAACAGGACAGAAAAAGCAAACAGGTGCCTGGAGCCCTGAGCTGAATGGAGGCCCCCCACGAAAACAGCTGATTACTTTAGTCCACATCAACTAGAATTTAGTGAAAACCCGCTGAAATTATATGGTTGGCTATGTAAGGGAGACTGCAACAAGACCATGGTTTGAAACCCCATGTCACTAGCTTATTGCCAAAAGCTCCATGATTTTAAAAGATCGATTGAAGACTAGAACATCTACATTCATATTTATGATGTGTCTGGGATGGTTGTGGGGGTTTGCACTTCAACTTTACAACTTAACTAATATTTATGTATCTGCACAGTTATGGTTTGGTACCGAAATCCAGTACCAATCAGGCACTGGTTCCCGAATGGCCAGTATGTTTTGGTCTTGTGAGTCTCTTAAATCGCTTGCATATTGTGACCTGGCTGCTCCTTGAGAGGCCCTGTGTTACAGCATTAGATTTCACTTTACAGCAGCATGATTGGCAATTCATAGTCTGTAGAAGAGGCAAAGCCTGGTCCTCAGATCAAAGCCGCACTAATTCCTGCTGCTGATTGGCCCTGTAAAGATAATGTTTTGATTGGTCCTCAGAGAGCCACAGTCTTTTGTTTAAGGAGGTGCTCCAAGGATGATTGCCTATATTAAAGTCTCTTTAAACCTTGTTGATGCATGAAAGGTTTTATTTTTTTAACTGCATTACTGCAATAATGACAAGATGTATTTAAACCATGTAAGTTGTGTAATATAATTTTTTCAAAGCTATAAAACCATCAATATAGGTATAGGTTCATTTTTCACACAGCTGATCAACTCTGTGAGCACAACACAGAGTCAACCACACACTGACCTAAAACACACAAACAACAGGCAGCATTACACGTTAAGATTTATGAAAATGACAGGCACTTCTTTACGGCATGGGTTTTGCTGCCTTTCAGTATGGTGACAGAAATGCAACAGAAAACCTCAACAGGTTTGACGACCCTAAATGAATCCCACTCTAAGTTCAACTACAGATGAAGAAAAACCACAGCACCAGTCGGCCCCGTCTGCTACATTGGGACACGAGTTCTCATCACACCTTCTGTCCTCTCCTCAGTCCACCTGGGAGACAATGATTTTGCAACCTGATCCATCTTGACAGTCTCCTGCAGATGTATGTCCACACATCCAGCATTTGCTGTGTCCCAAATCGTAAACTGTCTCCCCTACTCGAGAAGAAGTGTTCCTCTCTGGAGCTGTGGAGAGTGAGGTGGAGGGAGGAGTGACTCCATCCTGGGAGGGGTGGTAAACCAGTCTGTGACTGGGAGAACACAGTGATTCAGCCTCACCTTCCCTCTGTCGTCACCTGTTCTTTAGCTGTTTCCAGACAGGACAACTATAGGTCCAGACATTTTCAGTACTTTGACTTTCACATGTGAAGAAAGTAGCGGGAGACTGTCAGGAAAATATTAGGAAAAGCAGCTTTTCATTGAGCTCATAGGGGAATGACAACAAGCCAAACAAAAGGTTTTGTACATCCGAGTAAAGATGTGGAAGTAGCAACTACCTGATTTACAGTTATTATGTGTTTTGTTTAAGGTTTGAAAGTAAATTAAACAGTGTTTACACCCACATAGTTTTGGTGGTGAGTGAGTTTGAGTGAGAAAAAAAAAATCATGAATGGCGGCTGCTTGTTAATGTTGATAGTGAACGTGTTCTATTCTGTGCTTACTGTAAATTGTATTAGACTGAAATATGTGTATAATATGTGAAACTGAACCCTGCTTAGTGTGTGAGAAGAACTCGTGTCAGCTGTTAAATTGGAACAATAGCTTAAAACAATCAAATGTATCCGCTAAAGTCGTTCAATTGATGAAACACCAGCTTGTCACGATCAAAGTGTAACAAAGCCTTCAAACGCATCACACTCACAGACTTTTCCAGGTGCAGAGAATACAGCCGGGCCCATTTTTATGATTCGCCTTGAATTTGATTTCACTGTTGACTTAATCTCTTTATTCGTGTGGAGAGGCTTTTTTTTTTGTCAAGGAGGTTGTGCATGATGTGGCTTAATCCTTCTGCCTGCATGGGCACAGGCGGACCTTTGATCAGCTCCTGTTTGATGAGAGATATCGACAGACCCCATCTGACACAGTGGATGGACCGCCGCTGAGCCCTCCCCCTGCCACACACCCCTCCTCCAGCCTCCCTCCTGCACTTGTTGAGGTTGATGAGATTAAAAGAGCCGAAGATGGAAGAGTCAAATGTCGGGAAACACGGAGGAGAAAAAAAATTGCAGCTGGGGCGGCGACTGGCTGGATTGACTTGATTTATGAGCACACTCTATTTCTTTTTATTCCCTCTCTGGGTGCCTCCCAATCGCTGTCTCATTGTGCATACAAATAAGAAAGACAAACACAGAAGTACAGGCACACACATGCATACAGAGACACACCCCTCCAGCCATCCTCTCCAAGGTTAATCATGATCTCCAGTTGACTTTCTGAGGAGGTCACAGCGGACTCTGACACACATTAAGATCCTGGCTCGTGCATGAAGGCTGTTTCCCAGTGACTAGTTGTCTCCGCCGTGGCTGCGTGACATTTGGAAACACTAATAATGTGCTAATGATGCAGCATTTTCACAGAGCTGCCCTGTGCCACCAGCGGCAGGTACTGCAGCTTACCGCTGTTTGCCCTCTGCAAAGAGTCAAACACTTAATTAATGTCTGACTTAACCTGAGACAAGCGGTGCCAGAGGATGTGCTCATATGATCTGACACGTGTGTTTTCCTTGTCATCACAGTGTCGACAAGGAACCAGCAGTAAAAGACACTGGTGGTGATGTGCACTTTTATCTTAATGGATTTTAAATCAATCAATCTTAGACGAATGTGAATCTTAGAATGTGTTTTTCTTCATAGTTGTAAGGATAACATGTGACACATGCTCCTGCTGGCCTATACTGCAAAAATGTACTTACATGTGTACATGTCATGTTCTGCAGATATTTCAGTTCAGCATCCCAACAGGATCTTGTCCGCATTTTCCTCCTGCAAAGCAAACAATGAGAGTGTTGTTTTTTGCGGCTCTCTATCACATACTGTAAGAACACAACATTGATTCCAACACAAAGAAGAACAGTGTCTTATTAGACTGAATTTATAAATTTAAATAAATAAATATAAATAAATACTTAGTAACAAATTAAACCCAAGAGACACAAACACAACCGAATGACTTTCAGCCAGAAATGTAATGTATATGTGCTCTAGTTACAGGCATTATATTTTTTTACTTGGTTAACACAAAATTAATCACAAACAGTTCTGATGACTGTCAATTAATTAATTAATTAATTAAGCAAAAAAGCCAAAGGGTTTCTGGTTCCAGGTTCTTTCAACAGTTTTTACATATCACACTGTTTGCCCATTTCATTGTTCTTTACTAAAACTAAATATTTGTTAGCTGCAGCCCTACTATAGTTAACATTAAAATGATACAACATTAATATTTCCGAAGACCAGGACCTCAGAAAATATGTTCTGCCTCATTAAGACCAGTCCCCACAAGGTCTACTGGTACTGACAATTATGAAAACAGTACTACAGGGGAGACAAAAACTAGCATACACACAGACACATAGGCACACACACACACAGTGAGAGGGGCTTGTGTAGTGTCAGAGCGAACCCTCTGCTGAGAAAATAACCCTGCTCTTACCTCTCCCCTGCACACAGGAGTGAGAGTGCATCATGTGAAAGCCATTTTTTACCCAATTTGCTTCTGTTTAAGCAGATTGTCAATGACTGAATACCAAAGCCTGAGTGGCCCCTGACATGATGCATGGCACAGTGGACTAGGCTCAAGTGGAGGAATCACATATTACTGAAGGACAATTCAGAACAAAAGAGCTCTTGAACTAGGATCTGTGAGAGCTGAAGGCGCGGGTTGTTGTTTTCATAATTTTTTCTATTTCATTCTCTTTTTCTCTTTAAGCCAGGAGTTATATCATGGGTGCAATTTAGCATCTGAGAGGAGGGAGGGATCTGGATTTCCATAATCTTATGATAAGGAAAGGGATTAAGAATAAAGAAGGGATTAATTCACTTGATCTGCCAATATGGTGGACCAACAATTTTCCCCCCAGGAAGTGATATGTTCTCCTCATTGTACAAACCTAAGTATAACCCAATTACTATTCTCTGAAGATACTTAATTTGGCCACATCGTGTTGTGACGACTGGCCCTGACCTGGTAATATTCCACTTCATCCCCATAAAAAACTGTCACATGATGAAATGCCCCGAGCACACGATACACAGCAGTTTACTAACGTATCTAGATAATAGTGTATGTGCATAACAAGAGGTCAAGATGAAATTAATGACACAAGTGTGATACAGTAACTACAAAGATATGAAATTATGTAAAGTGGAGTCCCACTGATTGGGCACTTAAGTGAGGCAGTAAAAGTACAAGAGGTCCATCAGAGCAGACAGTGAAATGGCTGAGATTTGTTCACTGTTGTAAGGCAGATGGAAATGACATAATGACGCCCCAGACTCATGATGGATGACTCATGCCACCAAGTGAAGGCCTGAATGCAAACGTTGAAATGCAGAAGGAAAAATGACCATTTTAGAAATAGCTCTCAAACTCCAAAAACTAAAATCCACTTTTCAAGCAAGTATGTTATTAATCATTATGACATCCGTTTTGACGGGTGTGTAGTCACTGCATGAAGAGAACATAAAGAGGCCGATCAAAAATCTCCTGGTGAAAAAGCGGTGCCATATGTAGAAGACACAGACTAACATGTCAAGAGAGTTTGTCGTGAAAACAGCCGACAGCGGTGTCAGGGTGATGTAAACATGATCTCAGCAGCTGAGTTAATACATCACTTCCTGCCTCTGTCCGCAGCACCCGGCTGCTCCACCTCTCGCCTGAATAACGCGGACGATTTGATGCTGTTGTGAACGTGTCTGTGCAGAGAACCCCCCCGCTGTGTTGTGCATGTGTGAAAAGCAAACTGCTGGTAAAGACAGTAGCTAATTCTCTGAAAACGGCTTAGGAGAATTTAAACACACTGCCCCTGGTGGTAAAACTCAAAATGTTCAATGCACCAACGACATGATGCAGCATCCTCATGATAGAGGCCTTTTGCTTATTCTTTTACATTTAATGTGAATGTTTTTTTCATTATCATCACATCGTGTCTCCGGAAACAAATTGTGTGAAAAACATTATTTAAGCTCACAAAGCCACAAAGCGCTGTTCCCTACAGTATGTATAAGCCACTCTGTAGAGAGCGAGAGACAATCATCTTAAAGCCGGGTGCTTTATGAGGTTTATAATGAGCACTGATCTCTATCTGCAGCAGGGAGGGGAGATGGAGGTGATTAGAAGTTGATGCTCCCTCAGGCTGGCGATTATGGTAAATATACCAGTCGTCTCTGGGGATCATTAAAAACAGCTTCCTCATCCCCTTCAAGTGACTGCTTATGTTACCGGACCCTCAGAGCCATTAGGCCTGTGCTGTTCTGAAGTGTCCTTCCTCTGCTATCATGAAAATGCTGCTTTAGAGGAGAATTCAATATTTAAATGAAGAGGACATAAGAGTCAAATAAACATTTTTTTCATATATTTTTCCAGATCGTGATAGATGGTGTTTTGCAGAAGTTCTTCTGCAATATCATACTGAAAAGCACTATCAGTGTATTTGTGTAGTTTTAATGTTCTAATTAGGAAATCAGAAACAGAAAAATAAAATAGATTAACTGTGATCATTTACCCTCATGCTATCAGTCCATCTACAGCTAATTATGGCTCTTAGACAATTGATCCATTATAAACCTCTCCTGCAGGCAAATGTTTACTCAGCCTTTCTGCTGGCAGGCGAGACTTAAAGCCACACCTTTAAAAAAAAAAAAAGGGAAAACCCAACATGTGAGATATGCAGGGTCAATAAACGGACTCCCACACTCACTGTGATGGCAGTGAAGCCTCGTCACCCTGCACTGGGGTTTGCCCTCAGGGAGGTCCAGGCTGAGGCTGTGACAGCCTTCAAGCTTTCACACACTTCTCACCTTCAGCAGAGAAACTGCTGGAGAGTGTTTGACATGAGATGAAAAAAAACAAAAAGTGGGAACAGAAAACTGTTCTCAGTTCACAGGAGGAGGACAATATGCAAGAGGTCAGTAACACAAGGCCAGTGGAACATTAAGGCACGAGCAGAATATGTAATTGTTGCTTACTGCTGCTACGCCTGTTTGACTTTCCAGCTCAGCATACGATGCAGGTCATAGTAATAATGGGGCATATTGATCACTTAGATTCATAATGATCTTTGGAACAAGGGGTCTGTGTAAAAAGCAAGCCTCTCTTTACTCAGTGGTAACCATTGATTTTGTCTGTTGCTGGGAGACTCAATGTCAGCTAGCTAATTACTCCATGAGATGGTTCCATGGGGCTCTGTCATCAAAATCGTAATCTTTGTTTAGCAGTTCTTCACAAAACCAACTCGGTTTCTGATTCAAACATTTTCCATGATGCATTTTCACGGTTCTTTATATACAGTTTAGGTTTCCAATCCAGAATGGAGAAATCTCTCTGCCACACATGCAACAAGTCATCTTTCTTATCTAATGAATGTGAGCAGCCCACACAAGAACTTAACTGCATTATATAACCCTTATGATTAAAAATAAAGAACAAATGAGGTGATTGCTTTCTTGCCTTCATATATTCAATCAGAAATGGTTCACAAAAAGGTTTGGATTTAGTCTTTTGGAGGCTGCAGGAAACCTGAGTACCCTCTGTCACAATGACTTGTTCAAAACAATGCTGATGCAGTTCGCTACTCCAGAATAGTAAGTTAAATAGAGAAGATAAACAAATAAAATGATGTTAATTCTGATCTCAATTTATTAAAAAAAGCAGTGTGGGAGGTAAGAGTAGTGGTACATTTAAAAACTCAACAATGCCCATGCCTATGGTGATTGTTCACATGGAGGGGAGAGAGGAGCCAACTTCTCTCTCAGCTGTGTTAAAATGATTTCTGTTGAACAACAAAGGTCAACACTATGAACGTCTTCAAATAGAGAATGCCAGAATATGTATCACTGTTTGAAGACAGCAGCACGTTTCCCTTTTCTATAAGACGACTGGACTTTCACGCCAGCTTCTACTGTGGACGTTTAGAAGAAGTGAAAAAAATAAGCCACGCCTCGTCACGGTTGCAAGGCTATGATAAGACAATTTACTATTTGAAGGAGGGGCTTTTATAAACCATCACTTAGAAGATGTTTAACCACACACGAAGTGAGGTGGTTGGATGTTGACAGGTTTTCACTGTACTATCTGTTTATTGCCAAAATAAAGACACTCATGAGGATTTCACAGGACCTCAGCTCGAGGGTATCTGAGTAATTCATTTGAGAGTCTGCAGCACTGCTGCACTCATCTAATTTTTTGTGTACAAATAAAAGATATAGGGACCATATGGGAAGATTATAGGCAGAAGTGGGTGTAAATAGGACAGATGGATGTCCAATAACAAAGCGTCTCTTATGGAGGAGCACACAGACTCTTGTGTATATACAGTATGCCAGGCTCTGTATGTCCTTCTCACAAACAGAGACAGAGATGAGAGAGAAAGATGAGGGATCCATCTATCTTTTAACAGATGTGATGAATTTCAGCGCATGACCCTCATGCCTTCCTTGATGCATCACTGCAGTGTGCTTGTCATCTTTGTTTTTCGCTTATTATTCTCTGAGAAAATCCAAAGATTTGCCTCAGGTGCATTTTTCATTCTCCTTTTCATTATTTGCTCAGATTAATACGAGCAATGGTATCAGCGGCGGCGTGGTCGGCTAAGCTGTATCTAATAGGCTAGAGTCTAGACATACCCATACCAATTATCCACTGTAAATAGAATCCACGCTTTGGCTCAAGGCTTTGTTTATTCAATTCTGTTCACTTCATTTCCACATGATTAGAATTAAAGAAAATAAACACCTGCTTAGAAGGTGAAGGCTCAGCACTGTTA